TATCTATTTCTATCTATTTCTATCTATATCTATTTCTATATATTTCTATCTAGTTCTATCTAATCTATCTATCTATCTATCTGTCTGTCTGTCTATCTATCTATCTATCTATCTATCTGTCTATATATCTATCTATCTATCGATCTATCTATCGATCTATCTATCGATCTATCTATCTATCTATTTATCTATCTAACTATCTAATCTAATCTAATCTAATCTATCTATCAATCTATCTATCTATCTATCTATCTATCTAATCAATCTAATCTATCTAAACTATCTAAACTATCTAATCTATCTAATCTATCTAATCTATCTAATCTATCTAATCTATCTAATCTATCTATCTATCTATCGATCTATCTATCTAATCTAATCCAATCTAATCAAATCTAATCTAATCTAATCTATCTAATCTAATCTTATCTTATCTTATCTAATCCTATCTACCTATCTATCTATCTATCTATTTATCTATCTATCTATCTATCTGTCTATCTTTCTATCTATCTATCTACCTATCTATCTATCTATCTATCGATCTATCTATCTATCTATCTATCTATCTATCTATATAAATCTAAATACTTGAATATAGTTATGATCTCCACTATAAAGAAAACTTGAACATGTCCCCAAAAGGTTGGGCTTTCGGATCCGCTCAACATCTCCATCTTGCTGCTCCGCGAGCGCTGGAGCGCCCGACAGCAGGGGTGCTGCGGCGGCAGCAGCACTGGCCCCAGCAGAGAGCTCGTCATCTTCAAAGCCAATGTCCCAACCACTTCCCGTATCCTTCGCTTGGGAACCCTCTGGTCCTTCCATAGCTATGGAAGCCATGGACCATTTATAGATGATAAACATGATGATTTACCATCATTTACCCAACCTGATGATGGTGATCTTCCAGTTCGCTACGTTAAATACCCCGAGGGTGAACATCGAAAATTGAAGATACTGTTCATCGGCAAAATGGGTCACCAAGTTAAGATAGTGTCTAAAATGGGGATTTAACATCATAAAACCCATCTAAATTGGGGAAATCATGGGGAGATCACCAATGATATATTTGGATTACACCGGTTTAATGGGGATGGGTTCAGCATTTCATCGGGAGATGGAGATCATAGGGGGACACAACTACCATCAACCAACACGGACCCAACAATTTGTTTACCCTTCAGTGCCATCAAATGTTCTCGCAATGATGCGCAGGTTGCACGACAGTCCGGTTTCGTTGTTACCTCTTCTCTCGTCGAATCTCTCCATCAGTCTTCTCAGCACGTCACGGGTCATGAATCTGCTGTCTTGTCTGGTGGTTTGCGTACGGCTGCTCATGCTGCTGAAAAACCTACCCAGTGCGCGCTTTGTCACAATGAGGTTTGCCCTACCACCGATCACATCTATTGGTTCTGTTCCCATTTCCAGCATCTTCGTCAATGGCCCCGTCCCATTAATGATATGATTGATATGATTGCTAGGGTCGGTTGGAACACCAATGGTATGCAATATCCTATTGTCCAACAAATGGCACGTATCAGACAGGCGTTAGCTATTATCACTAAAAGAAACACCAACCAATCTAATTTAGATGAGGGGGGGGCGGGGGTGGGGGCGGGGCCCCCTTGAGGACTTTGGTCGCCCTTCGCTGGTCGCATCCCCGAGCTAGGGAGCGACTTCAGCATCTTTCAGCCAATTTCTCGGAATGAAGCGGAGTTCACTCATTGCTTCCGCAAGAAATATGGTGATTGCTGGTAGTCACCGATCACTTGGTCGGTGTAATATGGATGAACCTGTTGGTTGAACGTTTTTGTTTGGTTTGGAATTGTATCTGGGTGGTTCTGGTTTCAGTTTTCTCTTCATCCAGTGCTGGGATCCTGTGCTCATCGATATGTAACGGAGCAGGAAATATGAGGATGGTTCGAGATATTTGCAGCATCCTGGAGGTACCAACTTGGGGTCTGGGTGTATCTTTTACGCCCAGGGTGTTCTTCCATGAGAACAAACGCCCAAGGGTGTTTCTCTAAGAAAGAAACGCCCGTGCACTGTTATGTAGGCGTTTCTCCAAGAAAGAAACGCCCCTGCATTGTTGTATTGTTTCTATATATATATATAAGAAAGAAACGCCTGTGCATGCATGATCGTGCATGTGTCACATCCCACCCTCCCGACTCGGATAGAGCACCGGCATGATCCATCCAGGAATGGATGATTTGACATATTTCCGTGCTGTAGAACATGCGTACAGGTCATGTTTGATCGTGTTTTGATTTTCTTTGCGCGCGTTGCCGGGGAGGTTTGATTATGACTACCTTATATACAGCTTGGATTTGATCAGTAGCATTTTTTTAGCGTCAAAACCGAAAACCAACAAATCGCAAGCCAATGTTTTCTTGAATTCACAAATCCGAAACGAGGGTTGGAATGGGGTTCATGTTTTTTTCATGTTTTTTCCTCAAAACATGCTTTCACGATTTCACGGGGCACGTGCATGCATGCATGTCAATCCTTACAAAGGGGCTTCGGCCTCATTTATAAAACATGCACGGTTCATGCCATGACATGTGCAAAAATCGGGTTTCAGCCCCGCAGATGTATAAGCTCTTTTTTGGAAAACACGAACCAAAGGCAATGTGATTATGAACTGCATGCCCGTGGCTCAGACACCAATTCTGCCCATTTACTTTCCCTGCATGTCACCTTAAACATGTACAAAGAGAGCCAATCAAACACATTTTTCTGCTTTCAATTTGAAACGCCTGTCGATGGGATCAGCCATGGCCGTGAAATGCTCATGCAGGCTTGCATATGTTTCAGTTCATATGCATACGTACATACATACATACATACACACATACATACATACATACATACATACATACATGAATCATTTTGCGGCCACAGATTGTTTACTACTGTTCTGCACATTTTCGTTGCAGGCCAGGACGAGGGCCGAAAACTGCAGAAGTGCAAAGCTCGACTTTCTGAGCCCGCCTGTCTGGCATGTTTGCACTCCTGGAACTCTCGAGTTGAGCATTTTCCGCAGTTTTAAAGCCATGTCTTTTGATATTTATCCGTCGCTAACCGCAGACGTTGTTGCCCATATGGTCATACTGAAGATGGCCCCAAAAATATTGCCTAAGAGGCGCCCTAGGCCGCCGTCCCCGCCAAAGTGCCCATGGGCAGAGCGTGGCATAAACAAGCCTCCACCTGCCGTGGAAGTGCCAGATGCATTCCTGCTCAAGTTGTGATGCCAATTTTTTATTTTTGTCCCTGATGAAGTTTAAGGGACACCTGCGAGATTTGTTGCTCTCACGTTTTTGACATTGAGGTACCATGGACGCCTGCGACCTCAAGCTCCAGTAGCAGCTCCAGTAGCGGGGTTAACCAGGCGCAAAGTGGAAGTGGGCGTTTAGTTTTAAAACCGAATAAAAGCACAGAAGCAGATGATGTATACTTATATAGCAGTTTTGTGTGAAGTCGTTGCATGCACAGGCTGAGGAATTTGTTAGACTGATTTCTATATATATATATGTGACACTTTACATCGCACAAAATATAATTACCATTTCTCGTCGCTTTGAATCCAACATGAGTTCTGATCATTGAATTGGCCTAGTTTCCTTTGATTTCTTCATGCGTTTCCACGGTTTCATCTTTATACCTCCACGTGCAGGAGATGGCCTATGTGATGTTGGCCGAGGCGTATGAAGCCCAACGGGTTGCCCGCAACTATGCCAAGGCAGCCAAGCGCAGTCTGAAGGCAGTTCAAGCCTTGCAACAGGCCTGCCCGGGGCCAAAGAAAATATTTTGGCTCATTTTTTTTTTAAGGGATGTATATCGCAAACACTTTTGTTTTTCAAGGGTGCCCCGTCGGCTCGGGAGACATTTCCCTGTGTTCAAATTGAGTTGGGTTTGCGCTGGCACTGTTGTTTTCTTCCCTGCCAGGAAATGGTTGGTAATGCCAACTCAGAGGCAGTTACCGCCCTCTTCAACCAGAAGTTGACAGGAGGCGCAGCTCCTCCGAAATTGCAGAGTGCTGGAATTGGCAGCAAGGCCATGCAGACGAAGTTTGGCGAGGCGGAGTTCGCAGGGAGTGAAGCGCGCCCCATTGGAGCCTTTTCAGTTCGCACTGTCACTGTTGGTCCTGATGAGGATGGTGATGCAACATGGGTGGAGGAAGCAACGACGCTGGTTCCTGAAACGTGTGTGGAACACCCTGCCACTGAAGTTCCAGACGATGATGAAGAATTCTTTCAATTCCTGATCGAGGATGATGGGGCCACGTGCGTTCGACATGATGAAGACGGTGGTGGGCTTTTGGACGAAGGCATAGAGCCTGAATCCAATGAACAGTTAGTTGAATTCCCATCCGAATGGGATGCTGACCATGCAGATGGACTCGTGGCTAAGAGGCCTCGGACAAAGTGATTTAAAGTGTCATGCCAATAGATTTTTGTTCTTGCCTTGGGTTGTGACAAGCGCAGAGGGGCAGAAGATGGAAATGCTGACAAAAAAGTTTCGGGTTTGTGTTCAACAATCACGCAGTATGGTTTGATGTTTGGAAGCTGCAAGCGGTTTGAAATACGTGAAGTCAAAACTCATTTTGAATGAGCTGCCACGCTTTTCAATGCCAGGTTCGCAAACCTGCCCTTCATATGCGAGGCAGATTGCAATTTCATTTCATCATTTGGTTGCAATGAGCAAGTCTTCGGAAGAGATGCCAGGAAGGACTCAAAACATTGAATTTCTCAAGCTGGTTTCAAGTTGAGCACGCAGGATGTGAGCACTCAGTGAATGTCAAAGCGCAGACGGCTCTTGCTACAAGGACTCATTAAGCTTTGATTTCTGTGGAGTTCGAAATAGTTTTGCAATGTTTTGCAATGTTTTACAACTGTAGAAAATTAGTTTGTGAATGGCCATGCAATGGAACCTCTTTGCATGCTTCATGTCAGCCCGCAGCATGCATGGATCTAGCCGACATTGCTTAAACTGTGGCAATGGGTCGGCAAAAAGGGACTGTAGAGCTGGCTCTCGAGCAGGGCCAAGTCGACCAAGTGTGTACGCAGATGAAAGAAATCATGCCAGAGAAAGTTTCAGGTGCCCTTGAGGCTGCCCCGGAAAAGATTTTCAATGAGTACGCTTGCAAGAGTGCCCAGCCTCAGATCGGGCATGTGTCATGCTGCTTTTTATTTGCCCAAGATTTTGAACCGCAATGTCTGTTACTCCAAGATTTTGAACTGCAATGCTGTTACCCCAAGATTTTGAACCGCAACGCCTGTTACTCCAAGATTTTGAACCCAAGGCAAGAGCCTCGCAAAAGAATGCCTCAGTGATTTCGTTTGGGCTTTGAAGCCTTTGGCCTTGGCCTCGCCCTCCATGCCAATTCACAATGACTCCCTGTTTGCGACCCTTCGCAAGACAGTCGGCCAGAGCGAGCCAGACGGAAAGGTTTGGTTGATGGTGTACGATTTGAAAGTTTTGATGCAGTATCTCAGCTACTTGAGAAAAGGGAATCATCTTTGAACGAATGTTCAGCATTCACCCCATATGCAACCCAGAATCCTTTCATTTCTCAGGTTTGCTAGGAAGACGTGGAGAAAGGCCCGTGAATCCTTTAAGAAGGACGAGAGTTGGCCGTTGTGGGTTCGATCGGAACCCCATGTCTTAGAGCTCTTCGAGATCATGAAACCGTTTGCAGAAGATGACATTGGCAAAGCATGGGGCATTGAGTCTCAATTAAATCATTTGAGCTTGGACAGTTGACAAGCACAAATTTGTCGCAGTGTATGTGAGTCCTTGCATGCAAATATTTTTCATTCCTGCTCAGGATCCGGAGGCATGTGCGCAGGGCATGCAGTCAGAGAGTCCATCTTCCCAACCTGTTGTTTTGCAGGATTGGGCAGCTTTTCAGTTTAAGATGTTTGGCAGCCTTGCTTGAAGATTCACGCAGTAGAAGAACCATTGCTGCCCGATTGATGCAGGAGACAGCATCCCAGATGCGGCAGAAGATCGTGCGTGAGTTGCAAGGCAAAGTGGTTGAAATTTTGGACGAAGAGCTTGCAGGCCATAGCAAGGGTTTCGCAGAGGGTCATGGCACCAAGATTAAATTTTGTATGTGTCTGATGCATTTGCATGCCTGGTTTGATTTGTGGTTTTGGGAGGCAAGCCTCCTGCGAAGGAGAACGGTGTTGATGGAAAGGATCCAGCAGTTTTTTGGCAAGCATCCAAATCTTGTCATGGACCCATGTTCATGAAAGTTTAAATTGCTGTTGAGATGCCCAAGTTTCTTTTTCATTCTCAAAACAGACCTCGTTTCAGAGCAGCTCAATGAATAAACAAATAAATATGTAGATACATACATATATATATAATATATATATATATAATCATATCTATCCTCGTTTTGGCAGGTTTCAAAGGGTTTGGATGACATCTATACCCCTCTAGGTTGGCCCTCGGCCACATGCCACCGCTCTGGTGGCTGCAGCGGCTGTCACTCCAGAGCCCGATTGCGTTAAGGACTTACTCGGGTCACTGATCGTGCTTTTTATTGGCAACCAATGGCAGTATTTGAAATTGAAAAGCGTTGAAATGCAGGAGGCTGCAGAAATTCTTGAAGGTGATACCCCTTCTGCGCATCTAACCGGACCTGATCTCAGTGTATATCAGCCATGGCACCAAGTTTGGATTGTTATCATCATGAAAACGTTCTGAGGACAGAAGCGGTTGGGCAAGGACTTGAAACCGAAAGCTGAGTGTAAGAAGAAAGCAAAAACAAACACCAGTGAGAAGGAACAAAAGGAGAAGGCAAAGTTTTTGATGAAGAAACACAAGCGCAAGGGTCAGAACGGTCAGTTCATGGTCTGTGCAATCCATGATAATGCAACTGGCAAGCAGGTTGCTCAGCTCAGCAGCAACACCCAGGCAGAATGCGAAAGCATTGTAAACAAGCTGGTGTCAGAGTTGAATCAAGGCAAGAAGACTCTTGACGATTTCAAAGTGGACTTGAATACTTACAAGGGAGCCTAAGGCTTTTGATGTTTAGTCGCAAAGCCGTTTGAAAATCAACTGAGACGGACCAGCAGGGGAAAAAGTTTTCTTGATGTTTTCGGCCCATCAGGCATGCAGATTTGCTGGACATGAAAATGTTTTGCAATGCGCACAGCTTCGTTTTGGTCATGGCACATATGCTTCCAGATGTTTGCTTGGCAGGACGGGCCACACAGGGAGCACCCTCAGCTCCATCGAGTGCAGACTCCAGGTGCCACCTCTCCCCTTGCAACGTGTAAATCTGAAGTGGATGATGCTCATGCTTCAGACAGTTTGCTGACAAAGCTGCAATGCATTTTCGATGTTTTTGCGCAGTTCCTTATGGCTGTGACGAATTGCACGAAAGCAAGATACATGGAGATGTGCAAAACAACCAAGAATGTCAAACTTAACGGCATGTCTAACATGAGACCAAAACATGTGTTTTTCTGTTTTTGACAGCTGCGTGCCAGTGCCATGATGATTCAGCTTCAGCTGCTTTCTGTGCTGCTCGGAACGTTGTCGTTCCAGGAACTCCGTGATGTCTATGGCTTGACCCAACTTGAGCTGCCTTGGGTCCTGATTGAACTTGTGATATGGGCCATGGTTTGCAGACGCGCTGCAGACTTTGAGGTTCCTCCCCATGTGATGTGCATCGAATTATTTGCAGGCTCCGAGAGTTCATCGCAGATTGCAAAAGCGTTTTCTGAATTGGGTTTCACCGCCCTCGCTTTTGATGTTCTCAGAAGCTCGTCGAATTCCATTGTTCAGATGAATGTTTTCATTGGTGACTTAATTTGTGAAACTTAAAAACTGAAGCGTTTGTTCGGTGCATATCGGTCAAAGCTTATAACATTGCTAAGGAAGTCAAACACATGATTTGACGAGCACTATGGGGCTGGTCAGCGCTGTGATGGCCATCCTGTCTCTGTCTTGCGGTGGTCTTTGCCACCTGGGCACCGTTTGCACAAGTTTCAATTATATGAATTCTGGAACCCACACCAGGTCCATAGCCTTTCCGATGGGTTGGAGACCACATTTGAGTTACGTGCAACTTGGAAACATCTTGGCCGGCAGATCCGCCGTTCTTGCATTGCTGGCCTGGGCGGTAGGTGGAGTACCTTCCTTGGAGCAACCGCTCCGATCAGTGATGGTTGCTTTGCCATCATGGCAGAGCGTGATTGCATATTTTCATGAAGCGGAAGAACGGGGATGGAAGGGGCAGAGACTGAAATTGAATCAGCTTTTCATGGCATGCTTCAAAGCAGCAACTCTAAAGTCCACTGCTTTGTATTCAACAGAATCCCTCGAAGATTTGATGAATATGAGAGTACCTCCACCAGACGAGCGACCTCAAGTTGATGCTGCAGTTACCTACCAGTTCCAT